CAGTGCTCCATGTATCTCCTGCATGTCTGTCTGTCCATCTGGGACTAGGCCCCATTTGTGAATGGGCTCTGGCCTGCCTGCATTTGGCCTAGAGCTTTTTTTTAAATTGCATTTTAGGTTTTGGGGTACGTGTGAAGAACATGCAAGATAGTTGCATAGGTACTCAGGTGGCAGTGTGATTTGCTGCCTTCCTCCCCTTCACCTATATCTGACATTTCTCCCCAGAGCTTTTTGCCTTGTCCACCTGGTTAATGTCACAGAGTGGGCCTGAGACAGAGCAGACTTGTGGACTCGGCCAGGGATGAATGAGAGAGGGAGAGGAAAGGGGCATGGGTGGTGCTGGGGGGAAGAGTCCCATTCCTAATAGTATCAGGAGCAAGCTGCCCAGCCCTGAAAAGACAGGGTGAAGCTCTGCATGGCCAGCAGGCAAGGGAGAGAGGGCAAGGTAGAGAACACGCCTGTTCAGGGCTCACGGTGGAGTTGCACAGAAGCAGACCTAGAAAGGGGAAGACCCAGAAACAAACCCGGAGAAAGACAAACCCCGAGCTCTGATCCTGCTCCACCGCTGGCCTGGATGACCTTGGGCTGGGCCCTTTAACTCTGTGTGCTTCAGTGTGTATGCGCGCCCTGTGTGCCTCAGTGTGTATGCGCGCCGTGTGTGCCTCAGTGTGTATGCGCGCCCTGTGTGCCTCAGTGTGTATGCGCGCCGTGTGTGCCTCAGTGTGTATGCGCGCCGTGTGTGCCTCAGTGTGTATGCGCGCCCTGTGTGCCTCAGTGTGTATGCGCGCCGTGTGTGCCTCACTGTGTATGCGCGCCGTGTGTGCCTCAGTGTGTATGCGCGCCCTGTGTGCCTCAGTGTGTATGCGCGCCGTGTGTGCCTCAGCTGTGTGCCACAGCTCTATAACATGAGATAGTTAGCAAGGACCACCCCCTAGAATTCTGTAAGAGAGCCAGAGTGACAGAAGACATCCCTAAACCCAGGTAGAAGACTAGTTCCCCCTTTCCGTCCCTCAAGAAGGTGTCCCAAACACCCTTCTAGTACCAACAGCCTCTGTGTCTGCGATTCAGCACCACTAGGGGCAGGACAGAGGGAAGAACAGAGGTTAGATAGCAGGAAGGACTTCCTGCCAAGCAGTGGGAGGGTGAGGGGGCCCCAGCTGCTCCCAGCAGTCCTCCAGGGCCCCTCTGTCAGGGCTAGGGGTGGAGGGGCAGGAGTGAGGGGCGCTCAGCAGCTGGGTAATTAGCCATCGCTCTCAGGCCCTGCGGGGAGGGGCTGGCTGGACTGAGAAACCAACGCAAAGTGACAGGGGTGGTTTTGACACGCGGTGGAGCTGACGGGCCCAGGGGGCTGGGGCTTTGGTTTGGGGGGGAAGAATCCCATCAAATGATTAAAAAATAGGTCAGAGGGAAGAAGCCACAGCCGGCACTGGGTCCGTGGTAAGAACGCCATGTCACTTCCCCAGGGCTGTGGGCCAGAATGGGGTGGGGGAGCTGAGGAGTGTTTGCAGGGGGCGGGTGAGCTGGGATTGGGGGCAAGAAGGCTGCAGGCCCAGCAGCTGGCCCTCTGCTTCCCTCAGCCCTGTCTCATGGGGACATTTTGGAATTCTACCTGTAGTCCACCTCCTGGCCTTCCTGCTGTACCATCTTCCTCCTCAAAGGCAGGAAGCTCTTCTTCTGTCCCCCTTACCCCACCCACAACATATATACACACTCCATTCCAGAAACACTGAAACTCTTGCTGCATATGGAAGCCCTTCTTACCTGCTAGCCTCGGCTTCTCCTGCGCAAAGTCAGCTTGCTGACTTATCTTACATTTCTTGCTCATCTGAACTAATTCACCTGGCACTACATCCCTTTTCCCATCTTGCCAACTCTGCATCCTGCTTGGGGTCCACTTTGGCCCTCTAGCTTGTTCTCAGAGCTTTCTTTTCCCTCCTTCCCTCCTTTTCTGCCTTCCCAATTTCTGCCACAAATTATAACCACAGTAGCCCGAGAAAGGCAGAGAACAAGGAGGAGTGAAGTGGTAGACTCAGGTGGAGCCTGGGACAGGTTGGTCATCTCTAAGCACTTTAGATGGAGGCTGATTGACTGTGTCTGCATTGCACAGAAATCTGAGATTCCTGATTGTGTTCCCTCCATTAGGCAGTCTAGAGCCACCTCCTACCTCCTCTACTGAAGACTGGGACATTCTTTAGGCTGTCTTCCCACAACCCCTTAAACTGCAGCTTAATCCCATTTCCTTTTCTGAGGTCACTGAAACTCATGGAGAGATTAGCACCTGAAATTTGGGAGTGGAACAGAGGCCTGGGATCCACATGTCACAACTCCCTTCCTTATAAATCCCAGGCACAGGCAGCAATCAGGCGAGCAACCAGTGTCTGAAGCAGAGGGACAAACCAGGCATTGGGCTCGCAGCAGTGCCGTCTCCAGCTGAGTGGGCACCTGGGTCCCAGCCACTGCAATGGAGGACACCCAAGGCCATGTTGGCACGAAAATGGATTGGCTAGGTCTGACCTTGAGTTTAACCCCACTTACCACCCCAGACAGGGATCTGCTCTGACACACAAGTCTATTTCCCCAGGAGCCTGCTGTCTGCTGCTTGCCCTGCTCAGTTACCAGGAAGTGTCAGAAGGCGTCCAGCCTACCTCCTCCCACCAGAGCCATGGGCAGCTGGCTGGACTGAGCTGGGCACTGAGAAGGGCCTGGACACGCATCTCTGGCCACAGGGGGCATACAGCTAGCATGGCTGCCCAGCATTGCCCCCTCTCCTTGCCCACCTCCATTTCTTTCCAATCACTGGCACCGGAACCTGACATTCTGTGAGTTGGGAAAGGATGGTTATGGTCAGGCAAGTTCTTAGCAACTGGACCAGTAACTGGGTATTGAGACCCTCATTACTTTGCATTTCACCCACATGTACACACTGACCTGGGGCCACTACCCAAGACCCAGGGTCCTGCAAATGGGCGGTGTTCTGGGGCTCCCAGCCTCCCATGCATGACCCTGCATGTTGCCAAATCTAACTTGTACTTTGTCTCCATCCTTGACTTCCAGTGCGTTTGGAAACTGTAAAAACCCCAGTTCTTCCTGATTAACCCTGTCCCATCACTGCTGAGGGTTGAGGAGGAGCAGGTAGAGGATGAGATAAGAGAACATCCCCAGGCAACTCATCCCATTTATTTCTTTTCTTTTCTCTCTTTTTTTAAGACTAGTCAATATACCTTTGATTTCATTAGACTTCACAATGGTGTGAAGGCAACTGGGTGGGAACCATTGTTCCCATTTTACAGATAAGGAAACAAGGGTATAAAAAAGTTAAGCACCAGTGGGCCACAGTGGCTCATGCCTGTAATCCCAGCACTTTGGGAGGCTGAGGTGGGTGTATCACTGGAGGTCAGGATTTCGAGACCAGCCTGGCCAACATGGTGAAACCCCATCTCTACTTAAAACACAAAAATTAGATGGGACTGGTGGCAAATGCCTATAATCCCAGCTACTCTGGAGGCTGAGACAGGAGAATCGCTTGAATCCAGGAGGCAGAGGTTGCAGTGAGCTGAGATCATGCCATTGCACTCCAGTCTGGGTGACAGAGCAAGACTCTGTCTTAAAAAAAAAAAAAAGAAAGAAAGAAAAGTTTAATACCTTGTCAAGATCACACAGCTGGTGACCTAATGAACACTTAGGCTTATATTGCATGTCTTCCTCAGGGGAGCCTTCCACAACTGTGTGAAGAGGACACTATTGTTCCCATTTTTCAGATGAGAAGCTGGTGCTCAGAGAGGTGACACAATTTTCCCAGGCTCTCAGTTATTTTCCTCCCCTGAGCCTCTCTATTTACAAGGTACCCAACCCAACCCGGGCTGAGTCCTTCTCCTCATTCCCTCCGGAGAAAGGCAAGACTGAAGGCCCACCCTGTGTCGTCCAGCGAGCATTCGCCTGGGTTTTGGGAAGTCATACTGCTGTCCTAATGTCATCCCTTGCCTCCACCTGGCCTGTTCTTGCCTCTCCTGGCGTCCTTTCTGTCTGACGACCCTGCAGAACTGGGCCTGTTACTCAGCACATCCCCTCCCCCGATGGGGCAGGAGTGTGGGAAGCAGGGCTGAGAGACGGAAAGGGACGGGCTCCGACACGCAGCCACTGTAGCAGTGGAGAGAGATGAGTCCAGTCGGGAAGGACCCAGCAGTCCTGGTTTCCAGGTGGAGTGAGAGGTGGGGGTCTTCCTCACTTCTCCAAACTCCCTGCCCCAGGCCACGGAGCCCACTGCCAGCATCGAAGCTGTCAGGTGTTTCTGTCTGAGGAGGGAAGGGGACTGGTCAACTCCTGGAATGGGAAGAGGATGCCACTGGGCATGCACCCTGCCAGGCACTGCTGCCCACGCCCAAGTTCATCACACCTTCCACTCTGCCCTCCTGCTAATCCAGCCTGCACTCTCCTCCCTCTTGCTTCTCACCTTGGGACACATGAGCCAATGGCCAAGAGTGAGGCAGCAGAGCCACGTGGAGCCACCAGCTGCCCCTTCCCCTCCATGCCAGCCAGACTGCCTGGGATTCTGGGGACCCATGTATGCCCCTGCTGCAGCCTCAGCAGTAGCTCTGCCGACAGCTTTTAGGAGCTCCTGTTCTGGGCTGGAAGTGAGGAGAGGCTTTCCTTGACAAACAGGGAGATGGGGGAGGGGGCCAGGCCCTGGCTCCAGACTGTTCTTACGCTCTAACCCCCTAGGGCAGGCCTTTCTTCTCGAACAAACCCAGGGAAGACTTCCAAAAAGATGGCTTGAGGCGGAGTCCCTTTCTTGCCCAGGGCTGTAAGTTCTTCTTCTAGTCTAACCTTGATCCTTTGCAGAGGGGTGGAAGAGGGCAGAGATGAATTGCAGTTTCTTATAAACCTGGTGGCTTCTAGTTCCCCGACGACAATACAGCGGAGGAGCACTGTGGTTCTGGCTCTGAGTCAGGCCCCAGCGCCCAGGCGTCCCCAGTGCCATCTCCCTCCGCCCCGCCCCGGACTGGAAAATCAGGCTCATGCCTCCGCGGAGAGTCAGTGCTTCCCCTGCTTCCCCTCACCATCTCGCTTTCCCCTAAAGGGAGGTGTTTCCTCGAAGCTGGGAAAAGTCAAGGGGGCAGAGACCTCAGCAGCCACGGGGAGGCGGCACTCGGTAGGCAAGGGCACGGGGTGGGGGTGGGGTGACCCTGCCTTCCTGTCCCTTCCCCCTCCTCCACTCCAGCCCGGCTCCCAGCTTCCAGCTGCGCTTCCAGCTGGCTGCATGTGTGCGTGTGCACACACTTAACACACGCGTGTGGTTGGTATGTGGGGGTGGGCCCTCTACCCCCGAGGGCGAGGGTGGGTGGAGGAGGGGAGGCATCATGCCTCTGATATGCCTATAAGTGACACACATTTTTTCCACATCTAGGTTCTTCACACGTTCTGTGTCTGCACGTGCTCTCCATGCCTCCTGAGTCACAAGTTTGATCGGTGTCCCCCTCTCCCTCTTGGCATTGATCCCTTGGTATTAAGCAGATTCCCTCCTCCTCCCAATGAGGAGACCCGCCCACCTCGGGAGGGAAAGATCGGGGATTCAGGAGTCTCTGAGGATATCGGCACCTCCCTCTTAGAAAACTGGCTCCTCCTCCCAGCAGAGGACCCTCAGCCTGGTGGGGGCAGGTCACATACGTGTCATGCAGACTCTCAACTTTTTCACCTGTTTGAGGACTCAAAGAGATATTAGAACCCCACCCCTGGCCCCTGGATGTGGGTAGTGTAGGTAGGAGAGTTTGGGGAGGGTCTCACCCCTTGAGGAAATTGAAGCCGTGGGGGGCGTTGGGGGGAAGTGGTTAGGAAGGTCTGGGTCAGTGATCAGAAGAACTCCCGTGCAGTTCCCTGTGTGTGGGGGTGGGGGAGTAGTAGGAGCCGAAACAGAAAGTGAGCAGGACAGAGGGAGAAAGAGAGGGAAAGAGAGAAACTGAGACGACGGGGCAGTAAGAAAGAGAGGGGAGGGCAGTGCTGGAGGTGGGCGGGACCTTTGGGCCAGCAGGGCAGCTCGGTGAGGGGGCTGCAGAGAGGAAGGGTCTAGGAAGTGGCTGCCTTTTCCCTTTCTTCTCTAGAAGCTCAGCGCTGAGAGAATTCAAGCCTTTCATCTCAAGAAGGAGAAATCAAGTCTTAGAGCAAGACACCTCAGAGCCACTAAAAGGGAACATGGAACCTGGTAGACCCCACCCTCCTGCCTCCCAGGCTGTGAATTTTCTAACCCCAGGGGCAATCAGGAGGACCCAGCACCTGGGATGTTCAGCACAGCAGAGCTGTTCCAGCACTCCCTGCAGTTCAAGCAGCTGGGTTGCCTCGAGAGTGCCCAGGCCTTGCCCAGGGGACCCATGGTACCCAGTCCAGCCAGTAGCAGCAGCTGCTCAGCTACCCCAAGAACTTGGGCTAGAAGGAGCATGTTGAAAGGAGACTCTTTTGATGACCCAGGCATCCTCCACCCCAGCCCATCCCCACTCCAAGCTGTTGGGTGTGCAAGCCCAGGGATACTGCTACCTCCACCCTGGTGACCCCCCAACTCCTGAGCCCACAGACATGCCAAGACACAGTTCATGCAGGCCCTGCCACCTGAGAACTCAGACCCTAGCAAAAGCCTCCAAATAAAACATTTTTCTGCCTCAGCCTCTGACTCCCCTGAAAATCTGGGGGGCTAATGGGAGGGACTTTTAACCCCCTTAGTCATCCTAGGAAGCCAGGCTGAGTAGCAGTGACTGATAGTCACCCGACCACAAGCCAATTTTGCGGTTTCAGTTGTTATCAGTTGGAGCAGCAAAGCAGTGGCAGGAGGCCCTGGGCAGAGGAGTGGGCTGTCTCCAGAATCCCCGCCCCTGCCTGGGACACTCTGCCCTGGCTCGGCTCAGCCCAAGGCTCAGCAAGACCCAGAATTGCACCCACTTTACAGATTCACACGGATGGGGTTTGCAACAACTAGAAATAGCCCTCTGCATCTCCTCCATGTACCCCTGGCTACTTTAAGGGCAAGGCTGGCTGCTCTCTGCATCTATGATGAGCCCTTTTGCTTTGCTTTTCTCTTTTCTTTTCCTTAATTTCCCTTCCTTTCCTTTTTTTTTTTTTTTTTTTTTGAGACGGAGTTTAGCTCTTGTTATCCAGGCTGGAGTGCAATGGCTCGATCTCAGCTCACCGCAACCTCCGCCTCCTGGGTTCAGGCAATTCTCCTGCCTCAGCCTCCCGAGTAGCTGGGACTACAGGCACACGCCACCATGCCCAGCTAATTTTTGTATTTTTAGTAGAGATGGGGTTTCACCTTGTTGACCAGGATGGTCTCAATCTCTTGACCTCGTGATCCACCCGCCTGGGCCTCCCAAAGTGCTGGGATTATAGGCATGAGCCACCGCGCCCGGCCTGCTTTCCTTTCTTTCATGTCATTTCACTTCCTTTCTCCCGCTTTCATTTCTCTTTCCTTCTTTCCTTCCTTTCTTTCTTTCCCTTCCTTCCCTCCTTTCTCTTCCTTCCCTCCTTATCCCCTCCTCTCTTTCTCCTTTTCTCTCTACCCCTGCCCCATTACACGTGTGCCTGGCAGGAATAATCTAGGAGACACAATTAAGACAGCAAGAGATCAGAGATTCCCCAAACCACATCCATCACCTCCCTCATGAGCTACAGGGAAAGAGTTCAAGATTAGCTCTAAGGGAAGCTTCCCACTGAGTGGAGTTTGGAATAATCTCAGAAATAGAGAATGCCAACATGTCAGAGCTATGATGGACATTAAATCACCTAGCGTAGTGCCTGCATTTTTTCAGACCAAGGAACAGAAGCTCTGAGAAGTGGCACCATGTTTACAGAGTGCAGCTGGAACCAGAGGTGCCCTCCCTCAAAACAGGCTCTAAGAGACTCACTTCACTTCCCTGCAAGCTGACAACTCACTCTCCTTCTCACGATTTTCGGTGTAAACCAGACCCCTTGTCCTCATGACCAGGCAGAAGAAGAAAGTAACCAGGGATGGGCTTGGCTCAAGGATGTGGATACAGGTCGGGGGCAGCCCTGGCACAGAGAGCTACAGCATGCTGGTAACACATGGCATCGCCGTGTCCTCTTCCTCCAGGAAGCCTGCTAGAATTAGGGATGGGCCTGTCACTGTCCACACCTGGTGGCCTCAGCCATGGCAGAGAGAGAAAGGGTGCACAAGATGTACCAGCCACTCTCACCCGCACCCCCAAGCGACAGGGAGGGAGGAGGAGGAATGAGAGGGGCAGGAAGTGGGGTCCGGACAGGAGTAGGGGGGTGTGTGAAGCTAGGGAAGGGGAGGCACTCCCACGGGGAAAAAACTGCCCTGATGAGTCACTGCTGCCCAGGTGCAGCCCTCCAGGGAGCTGCCCAGCTGCATTTAAGGTTTATCATGTGATTTCTATGAAGGATAATGGAGTGGTGGGCTGGAGCTGGCTCACACCAGCTCTCAAGAGCTGATGATGAGTATCTCTTCCCAATGCTCAGTGCTGAGGTAGCTTACGCTGCAGAGCCAGTTGTTAAATGTTTGCCAGCACACCACTGGATAATGAGGTCAGCTTCACAGCCAGGAGTGTATGTGTCTGCATGCGGGTGTGGGATCGCCATGCATGTGTTATAATAGCGTGCACTATTCCTGGGTCCCTGTGGCACTGTGTTCCTGGTTGCGTGTGTTGGGAGGAGTGTGTCCCTGCACGCGTGGTAGGTGAGGAAGGGTGTACATGGAACTGGGTCTGTCCTGCGCTTTGGGCGTCTGGGGTGATGTGACAAGGTGAGTCTCGAGGGTGGTGTGGTGACAATGCAACTGCCTGACTGTCCGTGGGGAGGTGACCTGCCTGTGCCCACTGTGGAGGACTAGGGCAGCCCCTGAGACCAGAGACACACACTTCTGAGCTCCGAGGACACGGGGTGCTGAAACCCTGTGCCAAGTCTCACCTCTGCACTGCCTCTGTCCTCAGGCACAACTATCTACCAGCCTGGGAGGGAGTGGGATGTTCAGGTGGGCATGGGGCCCTCTGATCCCCCATGCAAGTTCTCTATGTGTGCTGGGCACACCGCAGAGGCCAGCACCAAGGGGCACTGTCCTCCCCCTCACCCTCACCCCTGCAGGGGTGAACTATTTCCTTCACACCATCTCCTGATCCTCTCCCTCACCTCCCATCCTCCGTGTGCTTTTCTGGCTGTTGGGGGAAGGGAGAGTTGCGCTCCGGAAACACATGCAAGGTCCCCAGGAAAGCGGAGAGGCAAGGTCATCATTCAGTCAGCCCGGTCACCTTCTCACCTCTGGGCAGGAGGACTGGCACAGGTGTCCCTCTGAAGTGACATGGCCCCCTGCCCCTTGCCTTGCTGGCTGCCTCCAGCTGCTCTACCCCAGGGGACCTGGCTCCACTGCCCCATGACTTTCGAGGCTCCAAACGAGGTCTCGTGTCAGTCTCCCCACCAAGAGGTCCTGCAGGCCTCTTATGCCAGGGAGGAATGGGTAGAAGGACCAGAGCTGTTTTTTCCCATCTCCTCTCTGCCCTGGCCCATAAGACCAGAAGAAGAAAAGCATGACGATAGGGCAGGTGAGAGGACGTGCTGAGAGGTAGCCTTTCTTCCCTCAAATCCCTCAACCCAGGCTGTGGTCTGGGGACATGTATAGTCTGACCCCTGGACCCATCCTCATTCCTTCTGCCTGGGGCCTTCTGCCACACCCCCTTCCCTCCGCCCCCACAGTGGGTCCCTCTGCTCATCTCTCCCCCTCTATTCCCAAGGCCAGGTCAAGCTCCCCAGCCCTAGAGGGATTCATTGTGGGACATCCAAGGGACGGGATCCCTCAGTTCATCTTTGGAAATGTGTCCCCAGGAAGTTCTTCCTAAAGTTTAACCTAAGGTGGCCGGATGTGATGGCTTACCCCTGTAACCCCAGTACCTTGGGAGGCCGAGGCAGGTGGGTCACAAGGTCAGGAGTTTGAGACCAGCCTGGCCAATATGATGACACCCCATCTTTACTAAAAGTACAAAAATTATCTGGGCATGGTGGCTGGCACCCGTAGTCCCAGCTGCTCAGGAGGCTGAGGCAGGAGAATCACTGGAACCTGGGAGGTGGAGGTTGCAGTGAGCCAAGATTACACCACTGCACTCCAGCCTGGGTGACAGAGCGAGACTCGATCTCAAAAAAACAAAAAGTTGGGCCGGGCGCAGTGGCTCACGCCTGTAATCCCAGCACTTTGGGAGGCCGAGGCCGGTGGATCACGAGGTCAAGAGATCGAGACCATCCTGGTCAACATGGTGAAACCCCGTCTCTACTAAAAATACAAAAAATTAGCTGGGCATGGTGGCTCGTGCCTGTAATCCCAGCTACTCAGGAGGCTGAGGCAGGAGAATTGCCTGAACCTAGGAGGCGGAGGTTGTGGTTAGCCGAGAATGCACCATTGCACTCCAGCCTGGGTAATGAGCGAAACTCCATCTCAAAAAAAAAAAAAAAAGTTTAACCGAAGTTTCCTTCTACTGCGGCTGGTGCCCAGCCTCTCCCAGGCTGGAAGTTGGGTCTTCTTTCCACTCCAGCCAATGCTCTCCTTCAGGTGAAGCCAGATCAGGTGGAGAAACCACCCAACTCCAAAAACGAAAACAAAAGTCTCTGTTCATCGCCTACCCACCCTGCCCACCCCTGCCCCCAGCCGCCACAGAAACCTGCAGGGCACTGGGGCCTTTATCCCAAAATGAGTCAGGACCCTTCAGAGGGTTGAACTGGGGTGCAAGAATTCCCCTTCATGCCAAGCAAGGGCTCTAGCTGACAGCAATCTCCATCCAGCCTCCCTGGGCCAAGGAGCAGGTCGGCCTCCTCATCAGGAGGGGTCCAACCTCCCGTGGGAGCTCGGCTGGCCTGGATGTGCCTTTCGCTCTGGCTTTCTCTAACAACAAATTTCACCCCACCTGCTTGGTGTGAAGGGAGGATCTGCACAGAGTGCCTAAGCGTGCAGTTGGAGTCAAGAACTCCAGCCCTGCTGAGCCAGGCTCGGTGCCTGCCCCACAGTCTGCCCTCCACACCCACCTTCCAAGGAAGCAAAGGAAATAGAAACTTCCCCCTAGTCTGAGGCCCCAGGGACCCTCACACGGTACCAAGAGGCCAGCTCCAAATCTCCTGGATTGTACTTTCCACCCTCACACTCAAGGGAAGAAGACTTTTCCAGAGAGGAAGGAAGTACTCAGGAATCCCAAGGCCAAAGATGCCTAGGAGAGTGGAGGCAGCAGTGGCCTGGCTGACCCCCATGGAAGCTGGCCTCTCCCCACCCCAACCCCACGCTGCATACATTCTCTCCCCCTGAAATAGCATCTCTGGAGAGAGGAGTGGGGAGTTCTCAGTTCACTGTTCTTTGCTTCCCACAGTGCGTTCACAGCTCTCTCGCTGTCTCTCACGACCTGGTTTCCCTGCCAGGCCCTTCTGCTCTACCTCCACCCTCACCACCTCGCCCTGTCAGATGCCAGGACCTCTTGGCCAGAGAGGGGGCCTCTTCTCCATGGCCCATCATTTCCCACTTCCAAGCTGTGACTGTCACACCACTCCCTCCCCTCTTTGGGACAGAAGTAAATTCAGTGCACACAGTTTGAGCATCAAATATGTCTGAGTCTGTGCCGCAGTCACTGGGGCAGGGGATGAGTGTCGAGCTACAACAGCCCTGGTCCTTTTCTTCCAGGATTGCATGGCCCGACACTCAGAGGCATCTGGCAGAGCTGGGAGTCCTGGGATTGCGGGGGTGGGGATCCACCTTTGCCCCACCACACAGCCGCAGTCTCACACTGGACCCGGGTTCACTTCACGCCATTTTTAGAATCTCATCGCAAGCCCTTCTGCTCTATTATGTGGTCGATTTCCCATGTAGAATGGTCCCTTGAGCTGCTCCCAGATTGGCAGGGGAGGTTTGGACCTTGGCCCTGAGATATGCCCAGTCTGATGGAGGAGGCAGGACACAGACTGAGAACATTGGCAGAGACAACTCCCTGTCTAGGTAGAGCTGGTGTCATCACAGCTGCCAGAGGGGTGCGCCAGGGATGGGGTTCCCAGAGGAAGAAAGAGTGTAGAAGACTCTAAAGAAGGAAAGGCCAAGGCTCGGGCATTTGGAGTTGAGGGAAGCTGGAAGCTAGAAAGAGGTGTCTGCCCGACCTGGAGAGGGATGAGCCACGGCAGGTGCGTTGCTCCTGCACAGGGCCCGGCTGTGGGGCTGACCTCCTGCCCCTGGCACCGTGGGAGTTTGGAGGCAAGGGAAGGGAACCTCAAAGTCCTCCCAAGGGAACTGCCTCCCTCTTGTTATTTCTGGCTCCATTTTCTTGGTCAAGAAGGGTGTCAGTGGTAATGCAAATTAGGAGGTATTGGAGGTGCTGGCCGACACCCATCCTGTCCCCTCAGCCCTCCCCCCTCCCCTCATGCCCACACTTACACAGCCGAGTGGGACATCTGTCAGATACGCCTGGTGACTCTGCCCTTGGCTGAATGGGCATGGAGGATAGGCGAAGCTGAGGGCTGAGGCGCATCTGCCTCTGCCACAAGGAAGGGCGGGCACCAAGAGGGCCTCTAGCTGATGCCCAGGTTCCCCCTGCACAGCCCCTTCCTGCCCTCAGCCCTACCAGATCTCCCTGAGTCATTACAGAGAGCCACATGGCATCTGCATGGACACTGAATGCACAAGCCAGTAAGTGGCTCAAGCTGGAGCCCTCTCTCCCGGGCTTCGGTGTGAAGGGCACAGCTGGAGGCTTCTGAACTGCGTGGCTCACAGCCCTCTGCAGATGTGGGGTGGCTCTCAGAAGGCAACTGGGGGCACAGCTCTGAGCACCAAGAATGGCTCTGGGTTCAAAACAGAGAAAGTGGTGGAAGTGCAGGAATAGGGGCAGGTGCTGGAGGATTTCACACATTTTCCCCACATTACCTGGCTGCCCCTTCCCAGCTAGGACCCTCCTGGCCCTTGAGGTTCATCCTTATGTCTGACCTCTATTCTTCCTGTGGACACCAAAGTTGCTCTGTTCTAGGCTTGTTGAGGGGGAGATGGGACTGGGGGACGTGTCCTGCTCCCCCAACACTATAAAGACGTCACTGATGAGCCCTGCACCCCCTCCATTCTTCTTCATTAGTCCTAATCAGCTGGGTGAAGTGTTTCTCATTAACACGGCTGACTCACCCACACACCCCTCCCTTGTTAGGATCTGCCGCGCCATACTCTCTCCAGCACACGTGTGCACGTACACACACCACCAGCTGCCGAAAGGAGCTGTTGCTGCGCTCAGCTCATCACCTGACACAGCTCGCATGGGGACCCAGGCCAGGGGCAGTTGTCTCCATGGCCTGGTATCTCTGTGGGGAGAAGGGTCAGAGCCAGAGAGACTGTGGGACACTGGCCTTTAATTCAGCATGTGGCGATGCGCCCTAGGGTGGCTTGTTCCTCGGGAAGTCATCTTCCCCCAGGCCTGTATGTCTGGCTTTGTGAGAGTGAGTGGGTCCCCCATGTGTCTCTCCAGCCTCGACAGAGGTCTCCTCTCCCTCCCCCTTGCTCCTGTGGCAGCTATCTTGCCCTCCTCCCCTTTCCAGGAGCCTAGAGACCCCTTAGCCCCGCATTTTCTCAGCCCCAGTGCCCTACCTCCCTGTCTCCACAGAGTAATGAGCAGCAAGTGTCCTTCTGTGATCAGTCCTAGAAAGAGAAGGGATAAGGACTGGCAGGGCTCCCCCGCCCTCCCCCAGTTCCCCACACCATGTCCTCTCCTTCTGGTGGGTGGGTGGGGGCGTTAGATGAAAGGCTGGATCATGCTAGCTTTCTCTCCTTCCCAGTGTTCCCTCCCAACCCCCAGCAAATTTCCGCCCTGCACCTGAGCCCTCTCCCAGGTCCCTAGAAATCAAGGAGACAAGCTGCCAGAAACTGGCCCTGTGTCCCCACACTCCTCCTCACCCTGCTGACAGGGAAATGTCCAGGTTTTGGGACACCTGGGTCCCCTCCCACCTTCAGACATGCGCAATGACCAGCAGTGGTTTCCTGGGTCATCCGACTGCCTCTGTGCTCTCCTCTGCGCCTTTTCTCAGCAGCAGGATTTCTCTTTGCCTTGTGTGTCCCTACACCACCATTATTCATTCATGCACGACTCCTAAGTGCCTCCAAAGATCCAAATGGCACCCAGGTCCAGAAACTTGGGTGCTGCCTTCCTCCATGGAGGTGAAGAAATAGCAGGGGGCACTGAGCACCTATGTACCAAAGGTTCCAGAACCTCCTTCCCCAGGGCTGTGAAGCCGTGTCACATGGGGATGGTTGGTCAAACTTCTGGCACTCAGGACTTGGCTGTACTCAGAATTGAGCTTGGATGAACTTTGGGAGGGCAGCATAGTTTTTAACGGTAACAGAGAATCTGGGGTGGCTGAGAAGTCTTCCCACAGGGGTCTGGACTTTGGCACTGGATGGGAAGACACATTTGCCCTGGGTCTAGCACTGAACCTCATGCCTTCAATGAGCAATTGCCTTTGTTGCCTCCCAAGGTGCTGGGATTACAGGTGTGAGCCACCACGCCCCACCCCCTTTTTGTTTTATAAGTAAACTATTGGCCAAAAAGGGCCACATGGAAGAGAAAGGCATCCAGTTGATGAACAAGTCACTGAAGCACTTTTTGCAGACCTGGGGCAGAAGTCATGGGTTCATGACCCAGTTCTGACCTTCCAGGCTGTGGGACTTCCAAGGCAGCTGCTGAGCCTGGAACCCAGCCCCTCCCCTGTTCTTAGGCGATGAGAACATGGAACACAGATGTTCTTCCTCTTTGAGGCCCCAGTCTGGTTCCTGACGTGTAAAAATCATTTGATAAAGACATAACTGCTACTGATAAGCAAACCCAAGGGCTTTAGCATCTCGACTGGCCAGACCTACTGGGTGGGAAATTCAAGAGGCCTGCCTGCTTGGGGCTGAATGGCTGCTTTCTATCTGTTCTAATGACCGCCACATCACAAGTCATCTGCAACCACTTACATGTCTGCATCTCCAGAACCTCTCTGCATGTGGTTGCCCCATGTATCTCCTACTTGCCCAGTGTCTACCTCCCATGGTCCCCTGCTACTGAAGGCTCTACCCACCCCCTGCCCCACCCCCAGCCACAGAGGGCACAGACTGAGCGCAGATGGAACAGGTAAGTTTTATTTGGACTTTCAACTTGTTCAGAGAGCACAGGGGCCCCCGCCTCCCCTCTCCAGGCTCCCTTCCCCATTTCCCCTCCCTGGGGACGATCAGGGTTCAATGACAAGTGTCCTTGGCCCCTTCCCTGCCCAACACACCCCTTCACTCCCCTGTTCTATGGAGGGGAGGGGTGCGGGAAGGTGGGGCCTGGAAGAGTTGAATCAGAGCAGGACATGCGCTATCAGTAGCAGCCACTGCTCCACGCCCGGAGCTGAGACCTGGGAGAGGCGCGCAGTGGAGGGGGGTGGATTCATTGTGGGGTAGTAGGCTTTTGCCATAGGAGGCTCCCCACCTCAGCCCTGGGGACCCCCTGGCCTCCTGCTTACCCGTCCTTCTGAGGGTATGACTCTGAGGTAGATTTCACAGAGGAAATGTAGGTGGGTGGGTGGGGTGTGGGAAGGGGTTAGCTCTTTTGAAGTTGATCTCCACAGCACCCTGGGCCTGTTCTCAGGTTCTGGCCTGGGAGGCAGGGGCTGATGACACCCACCCAGCTAACAGAGGCTGAGTCACACAGGGCTCCAGGGCACCTGTGGTGTCAGGGGCTCCGTGGAATAAGGGTTGAGGGGGCATCTGCCTTGACTATCTGTGCCTCAGTACCAGGGGCGCCAGAAGGAGGGCATGGGCCTGGGAGGCTGGAAGACAGTCCCCTCTCTTCCAGGGGCACGGTGCAGGGCCCTGGCTCTCTGAGAAGCCTCTGTTGGCTAGATCTTCCCAGTCCTCCAGAATTCTCCCTCTCTGCTCCTCCCTCCCTTTTCACCAGAGTAAGCAGAGCAGGAAAGGGAGGACAGGGCTGGCCTACAGGGAACAAGGAACAAGATGCCTTCCTCCCCCAATGGGGGCCCATGCCATGAGCCCTAGGCTGGCCACGGGATGGAGACACTGGCATCAGTGCATAGAGCAGGCCCTGGGACCCCAAAGACAGCTTGTGGGTGTTCCCCGGAGAGAGCCTGGTCTAAGAAACACGGACATTTGGGGAGGGGTGGAGGAGCTCCTGGAGTCCTCTAACACCTTCCCCCCACTCCAAGGCCCAAGCACTAGACACCTTTTTGGATCCAACTCTGTTTAAGAACAGACAGGCAGAGGGAGAGGCCTGGGAGGGGTATGCTGTCCCCATCCCAGCCCAAGTCCCCACCTCCCAAGCAGAAACCAGGAGTGTGGGGGGAGCCTCGGCTAACCTCCCAGGAAGAGCCAGAGCTGAGTGGTGCCTGGACCAGGGAAGACGGCACGCACGTTGACTCGGTAGCTAGTGGAGGTATCTGGGGGTCGCAAGGGGCAGGGGCCCCCCACGAGATTCATGCAGCATTCAAAGTGAGTGTTTGGGGTGATAGGAGAGGACAGAGAAACAGCCAGTGAGTGGGGGTGGCGCCCTAGATCTTGCTGTTCTCCAGGTGGGAGTCAATGTGTTTGATGAGGGCATCATCCGGGTACCCGACAGGGAAACCCAGCTGGCAGAGGGGGCAGCTGCGGATGTCAGAGCCCACTGTCTCCATAAGCAACTGTGGAGAGAGAAGGAAGTCACTTACCATCCCCAGCCCCCACCCATGGTCCCCACATCCCAGCCTGCCCTATCCCAGGACCCAGGGCAGGGAGGGCTGTGGCATGCAGGAGGGGTCTGGGCACCCTTTCTCCAGCACCATCCTCCCCCACACCAGCTCAGTGTCCACTCCCCTGCCGAGGAACAGGGTCCCCAGGAGGCAGGTATGACAGAGTCACTGATCAGCTTGCCAGGACATCTGTAGTAATGAGGGAAGCCAAGACCCAGACATGCCCCCAGAGTGACTAAGAGACAGCTCTTGGGTCACTCAAAGCAGTGGACAATCCTAAACAATGTACAACCCCAAAATAATTTTCTGTCTGGCTTTGGAGTATATTTTGGTCTTTCCAGGTTGCAAGGGGTGGCTCTGACATTCAGGGAACTCATTATTTCTGTGAAATGACAGAGCCCTGAGATAGGCTTCTGTCTTCTAGGACAGACAGAAAAGGGAAAGGGCTCTGAAGCCTGAAGGAGGGAGCTGGACCAACAGGCCTGTCCCTTTGTTGGCTGGTGGCCAGCTATGGTCAGCAGCCACAATCACCATGGCCAATATAATTACAGATGCTTGAGCCAGGCATTGTGCCAACCACTTTAAGCTCACTGCCTGCTTCTTAAGAACCCTGTAAGATAATCAGATACTATCATCATCGTTCCCATTTTGCAGATGAGAATACTGAAGATCAGAGAGGATAAGTAACTTGCACAAGGTCCCGCAGCTATTAAGTGGTAGAGTCTGGAATCAAAGGCAGGACTGTCACTCCAAAGACCATATCCTTTTTTTTTTTTTTTTTGAGATGGAGTTTCGCTCTTGTTACCAGGCTGGAGTGCAATGGCACAATCTCAGCTCACCGCAACCTCCGCCTCCTGGGTTCAGGCAATTCTCCTGCCTCAGCCTGCCGAGTAGCTGGGATTACAGGCGCGCGCCACCATGCCCAGCTAATTTGTTGTATTTTGAGTAGAGACGGGGTTTCACCATGTTGACCAGGATGGTCTCGATCTCTTGACCTCGTGATCCACCGGCCTCGGCCTCCCAAAGTGCTGGGATTACAGGCGTGAGCCACCGCGCCCGGCCCAAAAGACCATATCCTTATCCAAGGAAATGAACGAAATCTTAATGGGGCAGGCCCCAATTTCTGGCAACAGAAGGCCACGGGAAAGAGAGGTGAAGGGACCTAGACTGTGGCCAGGGATCCAAGGAAGGTGAATAGTTTGCGCGCTGACACCCAAAAGGGGCACCCCAACGGAGGGTGGGGCTCTGGGGTCTTCTCAAGGCCCGGGGCAGGTGGAACGCGGGTGCCCCACTCACATTGATGGATGGCCAGGACTGCGCGTGCTCGGCGTGGGTGTAGGCGGTGGCGGCGGGCGACTCCGGGATGGGGAACCCTGCGCAGAAGGACGCACAGCGGATGGTGCCCACCTCTGGGCTGGGCGGGCTGGTGGGCACAGCCCACTCGTCCTCCTCCGAAGGCTGCTTCTCGAAGCGCAGCCGGATGCCCTCGAAGGCGCGCCGCGGGCTGAGTGGCCTGCCAGGGCCATAGAGCTCGCCGCCGTAGGCCCGGGGCTTGGGGAGCGTGGCCGCCTCGGCCTGCAGCCAGGGCGGGGAGGCGCCCGCATAGGCCGCGCCCTCCACCAGCTCGGAGTAGCTGCGGCGGCTCTGGAAGCCGGCCTTCACGTGGTGACTGGGCGGCTTGGCATAGGCATGCTCCGCCAGCGTCCTCTCCCCCGGCGGGGGCGGCCGGGGCTGCGGGGCCGGGCAGCTGGGGGGCACCGGGGAGCGGCGCTGCGGGCTGGGGGACTGGCACGGTGGCGGCACCGGCGAGCGGCGCTGCGGGACGGGCGACGGGCAGGAGGGCGAGGCTGGTGAGCGGCGCTGCTGCGGTGAGGGGCATGGGGGCACGGGAGAGCGGCGCTGGGGCACGGGGGACTGGCACGGTGGGCACGGGGGCGCCGCTCGGGCAGGCGGAGAGGGGGAGGGGCACTGGGGGGCCGGGGAGTGGCGCTGCGACAGCGGCGAGTGCCTCTGGCCTGTAAGAGAAACCGGGACAGGGTCGGGGGACAAAAGTGCAGAGAGAAGACCTCAGAACTGAGGCGGCGGCGACTTGCCCGAACCCATGCCCATCCATTCCAGGCCACAGGAAAGGAACTAGAGGGTGGTGCCCAGGACCAAGATGGTTGCCATGGCTACCCGGTCTTTCTCGGGGTCCCGCGGCGGCCTCCCCCTGCCCTGCCCCGCCCCATCTTACCGCCACTCCGGGCCTGCTCCTGCAACAGAGTCCTCAAGATTCTCCCCTGCAGGGAACTCAACTCCCGAAGCCGGCCCAGCTCCTCCGTCAGCTCCGTGTAGGCCAGCGCCAAATTCACCCTGAAGTCAGAGGGCAGTGGGGAAGAAGAGAGGGACAGTGGGTCTACCACCCCAGCTGTGGAGGAAGAACTGGCTCTGCCCCAGCATCTGGCCCCACCGTGCTACCTCCCACCGGCAGGGCCCTCCGATCCCAACTGCAGAAATCCTCCCTACCTTTAAGGTCCAGCTCAAAAGCCACCTCTTCCAGGGAGCCTCCCTCTGCATCCTGAGACCCATTCCCTGGGCTAGGGCAGTGGTTCTCAGCCTAAGTGCAGGGACAGGGAGCAGAGAGATTCCAAGGGCTCCCTGAATCCCTGCATGCATTAGGCACTGTCGGTGGTCTGAACACAGCTCATACAAGTATGTGTGAATGTTTTTCTAATCAGCGCAAAAGTTGTAATGATGAATTAAAGCACAGATTCATCAAAAAGCTGCACTGAATTTATAGTAGCTTCTGCCACTGTGAATTTTCTCAAGCAGTGCATACTAAAAGTGTTATAAGTAGAATCTGTATACTGGGAGTGGGATCCATGAAGAGTCCTCATCTTTGAAAAGGTTGGGGACCCTGCTGCAGAGAATAGCTGGTTCCATAAGTGAAGATGGTTTCCTGCCTGGTGGAGGTGCTAACTGATAAACTTCACCCCAAGCCAGCCCCATTCCATGTGCACTGCTCCTGGCTCGACCTCAGAGCTGCCTCTGGGCTCTTTGCAGCCTCGCCCCTTCCAGGACCTTGCTGTACAAGTCCACCAGGCCCTTCACACTGAGATCTTTGTGAACACCTGCTGTTCACTGCACACTTGCAGGGAGTGCCAGTCACACCGGGCACTTTTCAAAGGCTGCCTTGTTCTAGAACTTTATGGGGAGTTCCTAGAACTTTATGGGTGAGGATTACATCACTGTATTTATTTATTTACTTATTTATTTATTGAGATGGAGTTCTGCTGTTGTTACCCAGACTGGAGTGCAATAGAACGATCTCGGCTCACCGCAACCTCCGCCTCCTGGATTCAAGCAATTCTCCTGCCTCAGCCTCCCGAGTAGCTGGGACTACAGGTGCACACCACCATGCCCAGCTAATTTTTGTATTTTTAGTAGAGATGGGGTTTCACCTTGTTGACCAGGATGGTCTCGATCTCTTGACCTCATGATCCACCCGCCTCGGCCTCCCAAAGTGCTGGGATTATAGGCGTGAGCCACCACGCCTGGCCAGGTCACTGTATTTATATTGCCAGCACCTTGTCCAGGACCTGGAACCCAGCAGGTGTTCAATAAGTGGATGATGCATTTGAGCCTCTCCCTCCATTTTTCTTTCTCCCTCCCTGCTTCCTATTCAGGCATCTTGGGCACCCACCCTCATGGAGCTGGAACAGACTTGGCAAGGAGCCTCACTCACTTCCTTTGCCCTTCCCTTCTCTCTAGGTCACTTGCAACCCAGAACCATGGAAGGTCATCACTCCACTGCCCTCTGCTTTCTCCTGGTGTGGCCTGCATGGCCCCAGGAGCCCTCTCAGACCTCATGGGAGGCTCTGCCATGCCCTTAGGTCCTGCCTTCATCACTGTTCTAAGTGTGAACGAGCCCTGAATCTCCCTGAAGGCAGAGATTTAGGTTTCTTTGGCTCTCCCAACCTCCAGCTCCAGAAGGGACTCCGGAACTGAGTGGAAGCTGGAGCTGGAAGGAAATACCAGGTGTCACTCCAGACAGATTTCCTCCCAGGGGAGGTCTTGTTTCAGGACAGAGAGGTCAAGAGGGCCCAGTTCTAAAGCCTGGAGGACACTGTCCCCACCCCATAGTGATGCACATGTGGATGTGAGAGCGTGGAGGCAGGTGAGAGGCCAGGCTGATGAATGAGAAAAGGGGTGAGTGAACGTAGGGGTGTGTGTGTGTGTGTAACCCTAAAGGAGAGGAGGGGAAGTCATGAGGTTAGGGCTTCAGAAGGCAGGGCTCCCTGCTCTCGCTCACTGGCTCTCTCTTACTAATCCTGGGGCAGAAACTGTCCCTCCCACAAGACTATTTTTAACCCATTTGGGCCAAAGCCAAATTACTGCAAATGGGCCAGGTCTCTGAGAGACAGCCGTCTTCTCAGGGAGGGAGAGTCCTCACCACCCATCTGATGGTGGGTAGGGCTGGGCAGACAGAGGGGAAGGAGTCCCAGAAGCTGCTGCTGAGACCCTGCAGCCTCCATCCCATCACATCTCAGCCCTCATTTTTGCTAAATGTGTCCTGTGCCCCCTCACCCTCAGCTTATGGGTCTGTGGGAAGAAATGGCATCTCCCCCATCAGACTGGGAGGGCCAGGTGTGTCCCACATCAAATCAGGGACTCCCCAGAGGAAGGCTCCCCCTCCAGACCGGAGGACACCTGAGGGCAAGAGCTCAGACTGGGGGCTTTCGGAGGGCAGAATCCTGCTATCCCCTTGGCAGCAGGGTCAGGAGAGGGCTCTGGGCAGGGCATGGATGGAATGTGGTCCTCTGTCCACATAGCCACAGCTTCTCCACCCATCCACTTTCACTGTTGTATTTCAGGTGACAGATACAGGTCGTCATCTTCACACCCCGCCTCAAAGATTTCAGCTGCCATACTCAGTTCCCAGGCCCCTGTCACTCCCCTGCTTGCCTCCCTCCCCTTGTCAGGAGCTACCCCAGTTTCTATCACCCAGCTCCTGGCATCCTTCTCACAGTGAAACAGACAGGGTGGCTGAGAATGGAAGGAAGCAGCCCCTGGCCCAGAATGCCCAGCCCCTCTCCCAGCTCTGCCACCTGGGGCCTGGGGCAGGTGGGTTCTATCCACCCAGAGCTTCAGGCAACCTTCACAAAAACTGCTAAGTTCCCGAAAGGTGATCGACCTGACCTCCTCCTGATGCCCTGTGGCCTTTTGGGACCTCCCCCTTCATTGAGTGTCTCTCTCCATCTCAAGATGCAAAGGCCTGGGCTGCTGAAGATGCTAACGACCTCAATGACTCACTGAAAACACTGCCAATTCAGTGGAAAAAAAATCTCGACTTCACAATACAACCAAGAGTTGCACACGTGCGCCTAAATACGCATTCCATTTCCTGGCTTCCTGGACCACACCTGAGCACTTTTTTGCCGTCATGACTGTTTGGGAAGAATGGGGCAGGTAAATAGTAGCAGATGGCTATATCTGGATGCCACTGTATTGCTTACATGACAGGAGAAAGTTCTGAGTCTTTCAGAACCTGGGAGGCACCCAGAGAGAAAAGAATCAGATGGTCTGTGTAAGTGCTCACCCCAGGCCAGGCACTCTGCTAAGAACTTTATTCATCTGCACAGCAACCCTACGACATTGCCACTGTTACCTTCCTTTTATAGATCAGAAAACCGAGGCTTACAGAGGTTAAGTCACTTGACCAAAGTCATAAACCCTACTAGCAATGAAGTTGCTGGCATGGGAGCTCTGGCCCTCTAGACTCCGAAGTCCAGGCTACTGACAATGCTATACCATCCCCCAAAGAACTGGGAAGGAGGGGAGAGGAAAGGCAAGGCAGAAGCAGAAGGGAAAGGCGAAGAGGAGGAGGGGGCCGGGGACCTTGGGAGTGGCCTGGAAGCCTTAAGAATCACCATCACTTCTCTGGGAAGGAAAGGAAGGTGCTAGATACATATGGAAATGGAAGATCAGAGCGATTAAGGGGCTGGCTCAAGGTCACAGAGTGGCAGTGGCACACAGCAGATTCAAACACAGGCTCTTGGCACCTCAGCCTGCCAAACTGGCACCTTCGGAGGAGCCAGAGAGCAAATGGCAGAGCTGGCAGGAAGGAGGGGCCCCTGGGCTGCAAATCATTCCACCCTTCATATCCTTTCATTCAGTCTTTCCATGAATAATTCAGGGATCTCACACACTCTTCTGGAGACAATAGTCCTCATTGTACTATTAAAGCAACTAAGATCAGTAAGGTCTACCACGTAAGTGACCTCCTCTGTAAATAGCCTCTTTCTGCCCACACCAGCTATGAGACATTCGGGCTCTCGAGTGCCTGGTGCTGCCCTGGAGCCAGGTGAGGATGCCTTGGGGTCCAAATTCAGGCTAGTGTGGTGCCATTAGAGCTGGGGATGGCCTTGAGAACAGGAGTCAAGGAGCCATGGTCACTCGTCACTCTAGGAGTGGGGTTGATATAGCACATGGCCAAGACTGTGGACAGAGTTGAGGGTCAGGATTAGGGATCGAGTTAGTTAGGGATAGGAATGGTAAAAGGGTTAGGATTAGGGTTAAGATTAAAGCTGTTCACATGGTCAGAAACATCATCTGATTCAGAATTGGGGGGAAGACAGAAATCCAGCCTTCCCGGGCCCTTCCATCCTCGAGGTGGTGCCCCAGCCACCTCGCCCCGTGGGGGAATTTAGGGACCAAACTTTCCACCACCCGCAGACACACCCAGTGGCGGTCTTCCCACCCGACCCTCGGGGAGGGGACCACAAGCACCGGGCCGTGGAGCGGACTTGAGGTTGCGGGCCTCGGGGAGGAGGAAGTTGCTTTGCAACAACCCAGTGCTCCACCACTTCCTTTCAGGCGCCTTGAGCCCCTTCACTCTCCTCTGCCAGGTATGACTGGTGGGGTTCCCAGAGTCTGGCTCTTCATGGCAGCCACTGCCATGAATCCACCAGAGCTGACATGCCAGGTCTAGACACCTTCCCAGATGCGGCTGATCGGAGCAGCTCCGGGGTAGGCCTGGAAACCAGGGTTCCCATGTAGGTGGGGTACTCAGAGGTCCCAGTGTGCCTAGGACTGTCCTGGGTCACACTAGTCACCCCAGCATAATTATCAGTGTGCCCCCTTTCACTTTCAAAAGTGATCCAGCTTGGTCAACAAATCACACGGTCGCCCTTCACAGAAGGGCCTTCCACCTGAAGATGCTGAACCAGAAACACACGAAGAAGTGCCATCGCCCCATCCGCTTGTCATCTGCACTGAACTTATTCAACTTCTCAGATTATTTCACTTCTCTGTACCTCAGTTTACTAATCTGTAAAAGGGGGACAATACCTACATCACATTTGCAGGAATGAAATGAGATTTTGTAGATTCAAACACAGGCTCGCATAGTGTCTAGCATGGACAAAAATAAATAAACAAATCAGGAGAGTGCCCAGGAGACAGGTGGAGAAAGGAGGAAACTTGTTTGAGACTTTCTGGAGACCCCAGCCTAGTGACTTCAGTTTAAGAAGCAGGAAAGATGGGCATTTCCCATCGAAGGAGAGGGTGCCGGCACCAGCTGCCCCACCCTGCTGGCAGGCAAAGCACCAAGGAGTGGGGCTGAAAAAGCCCACGCACCCCTCAGACTCACCTGGGGCCCTTCACCAGCCTGTGGGAGCCCCCGAGGCTGCAAGTACTTAGGGGTTAACTCCTGTTAGCTCAGCGAGGGTGCCCCGGCCGAAGGGGACTTGAAAGAAAGGAAGTAGGGAGGGTGAGAAGCGTGAAGGGGGAGGCCCTGGGCCCGCTGGTTCTGAGGCAGGAGGCTATGCTCAGGGTATGCGGGGGTCTCTGACTTCCGTCCTGACCCACCCCATGCTGCCCTTGACCTCCGTGCAGAGTTTCCATCCTCTCTCTCGAGTTCACACTTCTTCCCACCACTAACCGCAGCCCACGCAGAGGCTTGTGGGTGGAGAGAGGGGCGGGGGGGTGGTGTGGAAAAGGGCCTGGACTGCAGTGCTGAGCCCCCGACATTGGGAAGAAAGAAAGGCCTAAAGTTTTCTCCTCGTTGCCCATACTGAGTCCCCATCTTCTCCCAGATGGACCCCGCACAGATGAGCCCACCCTCCCTTCCTGGGCCCTCATTCCTGTCACAGACCCCCTGTGCCCTCAGAAACATCATCCCTCTCAAGAAGCGCCCCCCCATTTCCCCTCCCTCTCCGCCCCAGGCCAGGGAGTGGGCCCAGAGAGGAGGGGGCTGTGGGTGCTGCACCGGCCACCTGGGCTGGGGCCCCCAGGGGTCTTTACCTTCCTGTGCATCCTCAGGAGCAGGGCGGGCTCCGCTCCCACCACCTCCCTCATCACTGCCTTTGGCCTCTGTGTGACCCCCAGTGGCTCCTCCTCTAGGGCAGTTTGTCCCCCTGGGCTCTGTTCCCCTGAGGGTAGTGGTCTGGCCCTGTCTGGTCTGAGTGTCTGTTTTCAAGAGAACATTAATGGCCAGAACTTGTGGGCCAGGGACTGGGAGAGGAGGGACTGGGAAACCCTGCAGCTGGGGCTAGGACCCAGGGAAGGGAATTAATAGAGAGTTGGGGGTCGGGGGTTAACCTTGAGGACTCCTGCAATAAAACTGGCTGCCCTGGAGGTGTCCAGACCAGGACAGGTGGGCACCTGTTGCCATAACAGAAGACTCCCGGCTAAGCATGGGCTGGACTCAGGAACTGTGTGTCCCCTCCTCAGCCTTCAGACCCTGGTCCTCCTCACCCCAATCACACCCTCAGCCTGATCATCCAGCCACAGCACTCATGCCACTCCCGGAAAAGCCTACTTGTAAAACTCCCTCCAGCCTGGAAAGTCAGGTGGAAGCAGAAGGAAGAAGGGCACTAGTGGGGAAGAGGAGCTGAAAGCAAGTGACGGAGCTTCCTGGTGCGGGGAGGACAGGGGAGGGAGCCCTCGGGAAGCAGCCTATTACCAAAAGGAGCTGAGTTTATAAGAAAATAAAACTACTGGGGGAGTGAAGATTTCCTGAGAATTAATGCTTATCAAACCAGGACTATCCAGAGATGCTCGGCTGGCTTGAAAGTAAGCGTGTGGCTGGGCAGCAGGGAGCCAAACCACAGCAAAGGTGGGGAGGAGCCAGGAGACGGCCTCTGGTAAAGCTGTGGGGCTAGGCCCCAGGCAAAGCCTAGCTCCCTCCAGCCTGAGGAGGGCAAGTGCCTTGTGGGAGGAAGGGAAGGGGCTGCGCTGGCCAGAATGGGCAGCATGGATGATGTGGCCTCCTAGCCCCCTATGGGGTGGGCTTCCTTTCACTCACACAATACAACCTTGGCCCCTGGGGAGCCACTGCCCCTTCTCTGCCTCTACCCACTGCCTCACCTTCCTCTCCCATCTCTCAGCAATGACTGGCCCCTGAGCCCATGAGGGAAGCTTGGGATCCAGAGAAGTAGAGTCAAGTCAGTAAAGAAAGGCCCCTGGGATTCAAAACCTGAAGAGCCAGACTCCAGCCCCAGCAGAACGTCCTCCCTTGGAGATCTACAAACTTGGGGAACTTCACTGCTGGTCTGATAAGAGGGGACTGGGCTCAGCGACCCATGAAGGGCCCTACAGCATGAATTCCGGGGCAAGCTAGGATTCAAGAATGTGTGTGTTGTGTGTGTGTGTGTGTGTATTCCAGGTCTGGGCATATGGCTACAATGGGCCCAAACCCCAGCCACAAGCTAGGGTGGACTCTCTCCACTAAGGCCTACCTGAGGAGTCCCACCCACTAGTCCCATGAACTGGGTTCTCACCACCTCCCCAGCTATCACAGCTCCACCCAGGCCTTCACTCTAAGGTGGGGAGGTAGGAGAGGGGTATCCCTACTTGGCCAGAGGCTGGGAGGAAGATGAGGGAGAAGCCTGCTGAGCAGAAGACCTCTGGAGCCCCAGAGCTGGGTATGCTGCTGTGCAGTGGAGGGTTAGTTCCTGACCCTCTCTGGGCCTCCGTCTTCCCCTCTCATTAGAGTAGGGAGTCTGTGCCACACAGTTCATTTAGGGGACAGGACTTAGGCGGAAAGAGGTTTGAGCTCTATTTCTCAGAAAGTGGGAGAGGGTGCATTCGGTGTGGATGTGAAAGGCACCAGGCTTCACTGTTGCCGGGCGGCTACTCACCCCTCCCTTGCTGCCCAGTGCCCCCAGAGGCCCCAGAGCTGAGCTCCCCACTGACACAGCTCCCTTGCCACTCCCTGCTGCCCCTTTCTTGGTAGGATTCCAGGGAGCACCCCAGCAGAGCAGATTCTAACTCCCCACCCCACGGCTGTGTGAACCCATGGAAGCCTCTCCTGTCTCTCAGCCTCAGGTCTCTCTCTCCCAAGATCAGCAGACAAGGCCCAACAAATCCCAAGAGACACCAACTCCCTCTTCCTCACTAAGGAGGGGAGGAAGAACCCAACTGGCTGGGCTTTGTCATTGGAATAGAAAATGGGCTGGGCGTGGTGGCTCAAGCCTGTAATCCCAGCACTTTGGGAGGCCGAGGCGGGTGGATCACAAGGTCAAGAGATCGAGACCATCCTGGTCAACATGGTGAAACCCCATCTCTACTAAAAATACAAAAAATTAGCTGGGCACGGTGGCGTGTGCCTGTAATTCCAGCTACTCAGGAGGCTGAGGCAGGAGAATTGCCTGAACCCAGGAGGTGGAGGTTGCGGTGAGCCGAGATCGTGCCATTGCACTCCAGCCTGGGTAACAACAGCAAAACTCTGTCTAAAAAAAAAAAAAAAAAAAAAAAAAGGAAAGAAAATGGGGCCCTATGGAGGCCCAAAGCTCAGTAGGGGACACATACAGCAGCAAAGCAGCTGAGTGTCACTTAGCCCCAGCATCTCCAGAAGAGATGGGCTCGGGCCCCAGAGGAAAGAAAAGATCCCAATCACTCAAGGACCCCAACTCCCAGGAGTTCGAGACCAGCCTGACCAACATGGAGAAACCCCATCTCTACTAAAAATACAAAATTAGCTGGGTGTGGTGCATGCCTGTAATCCCAGCTACTCAGGAGGCTGAGGCAGATGAATCACTTGAACCTGGGAGGTGGAGGTTGCAGATAGCACCACTGTACTGCACTCCAGGCTGGGTGACAAGAGCGAAACTCCCTCTCAGAAAAAAAAAAAAAAAAAAGAACCCCACTCCTTTCCTATGAAGGATGCAGAGCAACAGCAGCCCAGACACCGCACCCTTGAGGGCTGGGAGGAGAGGTCTCCCAAACAATACAGGGGGACCAGGGTTAGGGTTACCGATGTGACTTACTGATCATCCCCAACTCTTTTCACCCATGCCATGTCCCGCTCCGACTGGTTGGAGGCCAGATCCTAAGGAAGAAGATGGAGAGGTCAGAGCCCAAGTTCACCCTGGCCAGGGCCCTTCTCTACCGTTCGCTGGCCAGTGTGTACACAGTGGGGAAGGCCCAGCCCTGGACCTCCAAAGGCTATTCCAGGCCCCTGCATTTACCTGGGCTCGGGTCTCCTGCAGCTGCTTTAGCTCCCCCTGCAGCCGCTCGCATTCAGCCTGGAGCTGCTCCTCCCGGAGCTGAGCCCCCCGGGCCTCTCCCTGTGCGGCCTCCAGAGCCTCTTCTAGACGCCGCCGTTCCAGGTCACTCACACTGGGTGTGGAGCTCGGCCAGCCTGCTGTTGGGGGAGAGGACAACATCAGGTGGGCTTGGCTGCCTCCTCCAGCTCCCAAAGCACAGAGTGAAACAGGGGAGGATGCAGCATGGGGGATCCAAGAGAGAAGCCAGGACAGCTAGCCAAGGAGGGTGACCCAGACAAGGGCAGCGAGAAAAGATGGGCTGAGCCACATTTCTAATCTTCCTGGAGGCCAGGAGAAAAATAAGATGGGCTCCTGAAGGCCTTACTGGCCAGGCTCAAGTCTAGAGCATCTTCAGGGGCCTCTCCTAGTCACAGCCAGAGACCGGCAGTGGGGGGACTCTGGGTGGGGGTGCCCTCTGCTGGCAGGCATAGGAATTGCAATGAGATGATCAGGAATGCCCGAGATAGAAGGGGAGAAATTTGGGTAACAGTGGCTGAGGGGAAAGGATGATGGGGAGATTGTGGAGATATAGACTATTACAAATGGGACGGTAAGTAAGCAGGAGATGTCTAGTAATGTTGAAATAGGGGCTGGGGACTAGGAGGTAAGTCGGGGTCACTGAGATCTCACCATGACTCAAGCCAGATCCCCCTCTTAGTGCCAGGTAGTGAAGGTCCAAATCAGCGCAGGGTGGGGTGGGGGCTGCCGGTGGGCTCAGGTTGGAGAAGGCTGCATCCCGGAGGCCTTGCTGTTGCCGCAGCTGCTGCTCCAAACCACAGATCTGGCGCAGGTGCGTCTCCACCAGGGCCCTCTGGAGAGGAAGACAGGTGAGGGTCTGCACAGGTCCAGGACTTCCCCACGTCCAGAGAGGCCTCAGGTCACACATGCCAAGCCCACTCTCCAAGTGGCCTGGAGTGTGAAGTCTCATCTCTCAGCCACCGAAATGCAGCTCTTGCAGTCTGTTGCCCCTGGCGAGGTCAAGTTAAAGCCTCTGTTCTGTCATTAACACACAGGGACACTTAAAAGAACACTCAGCCACCTGTTCGGAGGCCAACCCGCCTTGGGAACATCAGAACTTCTATTTGCATCCGTGACAGGAACTTCTGGGTTTCACTCACCTCATCCATAAAATGGGGATAGCAGTCCCACACTCACCTCTTAGGGTTGTTTTGAGAATTAAAATGAGTTCATGTACGCCAGGTGAAAAGAACAGTGTCTGGCACACCCTAAGTGCCACATAAATATTTTTGATTATGAAGGCAAAGCAGCTATACATGAATACCCCATCACCCTCACCACAGCCTGGCGAGGATGTGATTATTTGCCCCACTTTTCAGAGGAGAGATGGAGGCTAAGTAACTTTTTTTTTTTTTACTCATCTGAGAGGCTAAGTAACTTAACTGAAGTCATGGCTTGGGGTTGGCTGAGACCATGTCTCCTGAATTTTTTTTTTTTTTTTTGAGATAGAGTCTGGCTCTGTCACCCAGGCTGGAGGGCAATGGCTTGATCTTAGCTCACCAGAGCTTCGATCTCCTGGGCTAAAGCGATCCTCCCAGCTCAGCCCCTGAGTAGCTGGGACCACAGGTGTGTACCACCACACCTGGCTAATTTCTTATTTGTATTTTTGGTAGAAATGGGGTTTTGCCATGTTGCCCAGACTGGTCTCAAACTCTCTGACCTCCCAGAGTGCTGAGATTACAGGCCTGAGCCACAATACCTGGTCTGTCTCCTGACTTTGACCTGCTCACGGGCACAGCCACACCCTGACTCGGAATCACACCCAAGGACAGGCCCATCCTTGCAGTCACACACTCCTGGTCACCTCTGCCCTCACCCTCACACCCTCCCCGGGGCAGTGCTCACAGGCAGAGGGTCACCCCAGTGTGAGAGCCAAACACACACACAGAGACAGAGGTTCCCAGGGGCCACTGCACGGCCAGGATGCACACAGTCACTGAAACATGGATAGCACACACAGTCTCCCTCAGGAGGCCAAACAGGAGGGCGCTAACAGATACACGTGAACACAAGCAGGGCACACACAAGTGGTGTGTGACACATGGGGTGGCATGCTGTCATAGCCTAGAATGCTCACACACAGAACTACAGGCACACACACAACCAGTTACACATCCTCAAGCACCCCCAGCTCCCCAGGCCTCACCATCTCCCCCAGCTCTGTCTCCAAGTCGCTCTTCTCCACACAGAGTTTCTCGTAGGCCTGGATCATCTCTCCAAGCTGTTCTTCCTGCTCCTTGTTCTTCTGTAACTGGATGGGGCCCAAGGTACCCGCCGCAGGGTCAGTCCGACACTGGACTTGGGGCTGGGGAGCTCCCCGCACCTCCCCACCCCCACCCCCAGCACCCTATGGAGGTGCAGGAGGAGCTGCAGCTGGTCTTAGGGAGGACCTGGCCATCTCTCATCAAAGGGGCAGAGGCCAGATCCTGGGGGGTGTGGAGAAAAGGGTATCAGAAACAGACAAGAGCAAGATGCTCAGGGGGTGCACCCAGCCTGGGAGGCTCACCTCATGCTGGAACTGGTTGAGCCGCTGCTGCAAGCTGACCTTTTCCACCTCCAGCAGGGAGCCATCTTTGATTTCATACAGAGAAAAGCCGTGCTCCTCTCCAAAGTCACTGATCAGTGGGTACTACGGTGGGGTAGGGCTTCAGGAGAGCATGTTCCCAGGTGCCCAGCCCAGGCCTCAGCCTGGCTGTGCCCCCAACTCCACAACCTGCCTCAGACCCTTGACCCTCCTTTTCCTTCACTAGTTGGATCCCAATTCCCATGGACCTGCAGGCATCTCCCACCAACCAGATCTGTTTTAGATCCCAGATCCAGCCCTTCCGAAGCCGACAGGGCCGAGTCCCCATCCAGAACAGCTATACCTCTCATGGGAGACCCTCAAGTTCCTAAGAGTCTGCACCATGACCCCTCTTTCAGATCCCTGGGATCTGCCAGATTTCCAGTCCTCTTCCCCACCCCACACACTCTACCAGGTGCCCCCTCTCCGGGTTCTGACCTTGATCTCGTAGACTTTGAGGCGGCGGCGGAGGGTAGCGTTCTCCCTCTCCAGGCCCCCCAGCCGTTCCTTGATGTCACCATAAGCAGTGATGAGGGCAAAGTGGGAAGCGGAGCACATGTCGCCGCCGAGAGAGGGATCTCCGGGACCATCCAGCCACACCTCGCTGGGCCCCAGGGCCTCCTGCGTCAGGATGCTGATGTCGTCCTCGAACATGGACTCCATAGTGACCACTAGGCCCCGGCCCACACGGGGCCTCCTGTGAGAAAAGGAGCAACCGTGGACAGGGCCGTCTGTCTAGGGCTTGTCCCTGGTACCCCTCTCCCTGGTTCCACACACCCTGGTCAGGCTGAGATGCAACCCAGAAACTTCCTACCCAGAGCTCAGCGGGGACTCCCATGGCCCCTTCCCAGACTCCTCAGCCCCATCCTTTCTGCCGCCTTAGGGAAAAGGGGCTGAAACAGATGAAGACCCCGCTGCCAGGGTGCTGACAAGTAGAGACAAGTAAATCAGACCGGCAGCGCGGACAGGCTCATGCCAGAACCCCGGGAGACCTGTGGATACCAGGAAGAGGGCTGCCTTCCCAGCCAGGCCCGGCCGGGTCCTCAGCGCTTCTCCACCCCAGGCCTCACTTCCCCAAATACCTCGCCGCCCAGCTCCTCAGCCCGGGCCTCCGGCACCCCAGCTCCTCCCCAGGGAAGGCCCAGAGCTGCGCGAGGGTCGGCTGCTCCACAGTCCACACGCCCTCTGCTGCACCCCCGCCCAACTTCCCCGCTTCCGCCCGCAGGATCCCAGAGTTCAGGAAAAGGAAGCGCCTCCCCCGGGCGAACCGGGGCTGTGGCAGCCGTCCAGGATCCCTTGGCCCCTGACCTGAGACCCACAGGAAGTCCTTGGTTAAGTGTCACGGGGCGCAAACTGTAGAAGGGGGCCTAGGTGTAGGGGGACGCAAACGAATTCCCAAGGCGGTCTCAGGGTGCCCGGGCGCCAGGAAATGGGGAAACCTACGAGGGGGCAGGAATGACTCAGCCTCCCGAAAGCAGGAGTAGGCAGTGAGGGGGTGCGTGTGTACTTCTTGCAGGCCTGGTTATGAATGTGTGTCTGGGGTTGGCTTATCGGGGGGAGTGTGCGTCTGTGAATGAGTGTAGGTGTGTCAGTCAATGAGTGCCTTCGGGGGCGTAGGGGCGTCGGGACGGAGTGGGACAGCGGCCGGGAGGCTGGTGTATGTGCACGCGTGCGTGAGCGCGTGGGCAGGGTGGCACGTTCGGGCCGCGTGTCACGTGAGACGCGAGGGGACTGTCCGAGGTGTGTGCGCGCGTTGAAGCGTGTGTGCGCCCCGGAGAGGGGGCTCAGCAGGGAGCTGTGAGTTCAGACAGCGGGGGCCCCCAGGCCGGGCTGCCGGTGATTGGGGTGCAAAGGGCTCCGGCGCAGGCTCCGATCCAATCCGCCCCCCTACCACCCACAGCCCCATCTAAGTGCCAGGGAAACGCTTGTGACTGGGTCTGAGTAAGGAGTGTGTGCGCGCGTTTGTAGGGCCGGCCCCACCTTTAACCCTCTCCTTTCCACATCATCCCCTCCCCCAGTTCCGCGCGCCAGCGCTCACCACACCCCCCAGACCCCCGCCCGCCCCGCTGCGCCCACCCCGCTGGCCGGGCTCTGTTCCCGGGGCCCTCCCACCAGTGCCTCCTTCCTCCGCATTCCTCTCCCGGCCCAGCGCCCGAGTGAGCGCAAAGAAAGGCGGCCGGGGAAGGGGTGAGTGCCTGGGTCGGCCCAGGCCCCTCCTGCGGCCCCTTTAAGAGCCGCCCTTTAAACCCCTTTCGCTCCGCCGACAGAAATTGTCGCCCCTCCCCTCTCAGGGGCCGAGACCAGGCAGCCCCCTCCCCCACAGCCGACCGAGCCCAGGGCCCCCCGGACACCCTCCCGGGGCCGGAGAAGGGGCTCCGGGGGCGGCGCGGCCTGAGAGCAGCGGCGGAAGGGGACGCGAGGGGATGCGGACAGCCGAAGCCGGACCCTTCCCCTCCCAGCCATCCCTTGCGCTGCACGCCGCCCTCCCGCGGTCTCCTCCAGCCCACCCGACGACCCCCGGGGCCGGGCCCTGTCGCCACTCCCCTCCCCCCCCGTCCTAGCCTTAGCCGGGGACTCACAGCTGCTGCCGGTTCCTGCTTGTAATCGCAGCTTACCCCCTCTGCCTGCTCCCTCCCCAAACGGGCACCAGTGCCCCCACCCCCCTGGCACCGCGCTCTGCTCCTCGCCCTGTCGCCGCCGCCGGGTCTCTCCCCACCCCCCCCCCCTCCCCCCAACCCCCTCCCTCCCGCCCGCCCCGCTCCTCCTCCGCCGCCGCCGCCTCCTCCGCCTCCTCCTCCCCGGCTGCTCCGGCTTTCTCCAGCTGGGAAGGCGCCGCGGACCCTGCCGCTGCCACCACCACGTGGCAAGGGGCGGCGGCCCCCACGCTGCATCTCCTCCTGGCAGCGCGCCCGGAGCCCACCGGGCTCCCTGCGGCTGCCGCTGCCCGCGCTGGCGCCCCCTCCCCGACGCCTCCCGGCGCAGTGTGGCGTGGTGGCGTGTGTTAGGGGCGTCTGCGGTCAGTTCAGGGGCTCCGCTGGTGCTTTGATTGTTTGGGTTGCTTAGTTCAGGGCTGTATATTTGGGGAGGAAGTGGGGCTGTTTATTTGGAGTTTATTTATTTATTTGGTCTTTGCGCTTTTCAGAAGGAAATCATTAGACCTACTCTTCGTTGCTCTTCGAAAACGGGACATTGCTGTGATAAATACATTGAACATAGGGTGCAGAGAGATTAATGCTGTAACTTTTATGGAAGTGAGAGTGAACTAAGGAAGTCAAAGATTAATTCAGGAGGAAGGACAGCAATTCTCTTCCCCGCACACCACTTCCCGGCCACCCACAAGTACCCACAGGTCAGGGCAATGAAGAAACAACAGATTTCACCACAAAGATTATTTGAGCACCTTCCAAACTGCTAGGCAAGAGAAACAAGTCTTTTGCCACTTTCCTGCTGTGTGACCTTGGGCAAGTTACTTTAACCTTTCTAAGTTGGAAATCTTGCCCCACCTAAGCACTCTCATGGAGGAAGAATGGGGATCAGAACCAAATGCGGCCTGCGAATGCTCAGGAAGTGTTAACGAGCCATTTTGAGTATTCCCTGGTGGTTTAAACAATGTGGACAGAGGCATGATCAGCCTAGCTGCAGGTAGGGAATGATCAGGAGAACCCTGGAGGACTCTGGCTAAAGAGCATCCTCTGTGGACAGCGGGGCAAACCCTGGAAGCAGGGGATAATCGGAGCAGGGGCTTTTGGCAGATTCAGCCTTTAGCTGTGAAGGCTGCTGGGAACCTGAGCCTACCTTTTTGGCTCCTGAGGTGGGAGGGTGGGAATCTCCAAGGGGGAGGATGGAAGAAAAAGGTTTCTTGCTCTCTCTGAGCTTTGGGAAGCAGCAGCTGCCATCTTTCCTCACTGCTGGGAGAAGGTTGGACTGAGAGGTGAGCTTCTCCTACCAGGAGAGCCAGCCAGAGCTCTAGACTACTCTTCATAGAAAGGGATTCTCACTGGCTTCCTTCCTCCTCCTCCTGCTGGGTTCCCTTTCAGTCTTTCCTGCCAGCACCAGCTCCCTTTTGTAGTCCAGAACAGGAAGGCAGGTAAGCCACTTGCTCTCTGAGGCACTAGCTTTCTCTGAGCCGTGAGGGATTCCATCTTCCCTCTAGATATGAAGGCAAACCAGCAGGGACATCTGTCACCCCACTAATCCCAAGGACTAGGCAGATGTTTCTTTCCCTAATACTCCCAAAGATCTCTTCTGAAGCAAGGGACCAGGCAAAAGATTGGAGGCTAGGCGAGGAGGTATGGGGTTGTCTCTGGGACCCTTGGTGAGCATGGACTTGGCCACAAACAGGACCCATGAGACCATATGGCAAGCCCTCTCTCACTAGAGATGGTAATGGGTCCCAGGACCCTCTGAGCACACACTCTCTGGGATGATTCGTCAGCCTCTGCTGCTGCTCGGATGCTCAGGGCCTAATTGAGTCACCTGTCAGGGTGCAGTCAAATGGTTCTATCCTTGGTTCTAGTGGTTAGTGGCAAAAGTCCAACAGACGTTAGGCCTGGTTTAGGTGCCCTAAAATCCTCCCCCTCCTCCAAGCTGGACCTGATCTCATTGCATTCTCTGTTTCTAGTTCTGCTGCTCATACCAGGCAGTTCTGGGAGCAAGGATTATATCCCATCTATCCTTGTATCCTCAGGTGCCCTGAGGGTTGGTACCTGCTCATCATATATTTATTCAGCAAAAATTTGTTGAATACCTATTATGTGCTGGGTGCTAAGAATACAGCGGTCAACATGTCTCTAACAGGTATACATGTCTCTTGCTCTTGTGAAGCTTGCAGTATGGTAGAGAAGTCAGAAACATAAAAAGATGATAAGTAAAACCACTGGAAATTGTGATAAAGGGCCGGGCACGGTGGCCCATGCCTGTAATCCCAACACTTTGGAGGGGGCTGATGCAGGCAGATCACCTGAGGTCAGGAGTTCGAGACCAGAATGACCAATGTGGTGAAACCCCGTCTCTACTAAAAGAACAAAAATTAGTTAGTGTGTGGTTGTGGGTCCCTGTAATCCCAGCTACTTGGGAAGCTGAGGCAGGAGAATCACGTGAACCCAGGAGTTGGAGGTTGCAGTGAGCCGAGATCACACCATTGCACTTCAGCCTGGGCGACAAGAGTGAAACTCCATTTCAAAAAAAAAAGAAAAAAGAAATTGTGGTAAAGAATAAGAAGAAACACCAAGGGGCAGCACTAGAGAAGGATGGGAGGGTGGAATCTGCTTCACAGTATTCAGAAAAGGTCTCTTTGATGAGCTTTTATGATTTAATTTTTTTTTTTTTTTTTTGAGACGAAGTTTCGCTCTTGTTACCCAGGCTGGAGTGCAATGGCTCGATCTCGGCTCACTGCAACCTTCGCCTCCTGGGTTCAGGCAATTCTCCTGCCTCAGCCTCTCAAGTAGCTGGGACTACAGGCGCGTGCCACCATGCCCAGCTAATTTTTGTATTTTTAGTAGAGACGGGGTTTCATGATGTTGACCAGGATGGTCTCGATCTCTTGACCTTGTGATCCACCCGCCTCGGCCTCCCAAAGTGCTGGGATTATAGGCATGAGCCACCGTGCCTCGCCTTTTTTTTTTTTTTGAGGCGGAGTTTCGCTCTTGTTACCCAGGCTGGAGTGCAATGGCATGATCTGGGCTCACCGCAACCTCCGCCTCCTGGGTTCAGGCAATTCTCCTGCCTCAGCCTCCTGAGTAGCTGGGATTACAGGCACGCACCACCATGCCCAGCTAATTTTTTGTATTTTTAGTACAGACGGGGTTTCACCATGTTGACCAGGATAGTCTTGATCTCTTGACCTCGTAATCCACCCGCCTCGGCCTCCCAAAGTGCTGGGATTACAGGTTTGAGCCACTGTGCCCAGCCAATTAACTTTTTTTTTTTTTTTAAGCCAGGGTCTCGCTCTGGCACCCAGGCTGGAGTGCATTGGTGCGATTTTGGTTCACTGCAGCCTTGCTCTCCTGGGCTCAGGTGATCCTCCCGCCTCAGCCTCCAGGTGTGTTGGCTTGCACCTCAGCTGGGACTACAGGTGCACACCACCATGCCAAGCTAATTTTTGTATTTTTTTAGAGACGGTGTTTCATCATTTTGCTCAGGCTGTTCTCAAGCTCCTGGGCTCAAGCCATCCACCTGCCTTGGCCTCCTAAAATGCTGGGATTACAGACAGGCATGAGCCACCATGCCTGGCTAAGCTAAATCTTAAAAGAGTAAGAAAGTATGTTCTTTGTTGAATTAATAAATAAAGGAGGCAGTGTGATTTAGGACTAGCTACTTCACTTCTCTAGGCCTGTTTCCTCATCTGAGAAAGCCGAACGTTGGTCTGCATCTAAGAGCCCCTGATGTTAGCAGGGCTCACTGTGGTGGAGACAATAATAGGAGGTATGGTAAAAGGGGAAGTGAGGCAGGAGCCAAGGCGGGAAGAGTAGGGAAAGTGGTGGACCGTGGTCATGCATGAGTTATAAAACATTTCTAAATGGCTGTCAGAGGTGTGGTAACAGAGGATCTGCCGCCAATTATTATGGTAGGAGAGACAGTGCAAATGCCAGCCCCTAGAGCTGGCCCTGCCAGTGTTTCTTCCTTAGAAACCACCAGGGAGAGACTCTCCCATTCCCATGACTCTTGCTCTGGAGAAAGACTTTGTCTTTTCTGTCCCCTTCTTACCTGAAAAGAGTAGGAGGAGGTGACAATAGCAGCCAGTAAAGAGGCTGAATCAAAATAAAACCCAGATGACACAAATGGAAACTGGCAGGCAGGAAAATTGATTAGCCCCATGTGACAATGCAGGATCTCGGTGCCATCTTCACCCTCCAGTTCCAGACCCTAGAAAATGAGCCATTCACTGTGTAAGCATCCCAGGACTCCCACTGCAGCTGCAGGGCTTCTATCAAATTGGAGGTTAGGGCAGTGGTAGGAAGACATTCCTTCACCAAGTCCCCAAATTCCTGTGGAGGTAATGCAGAGCCTCTAACTGAATTAGCAGGGTTCGGGAGGGAATAGAATGTTTTTGTTTATAACTCCATATGTGCTTCATTTTGCTCCATAACCATGTTCATTTCTATCTCCTAAACAGAATTTTTAAAAAATTATATTGAATTATTGAATATTGACTAAATATTGTCCATTAGAATGTGAGCTCCATAGGAAAACTTTGTTTGCTTAGTTCACTGCTATATCCCCAATGTCTTAGACACTGTCTGACATGTAAACGGTTGTTTGGTAAGTGCAGTCACAGCTCATTACATACTGCATCACCTGGGCCCAGGTGATTCTCCTGCCTCATCCTCTCACCATGGCTGGCTATTTTGTTTTGTTTTGTTTTTTGAGACAGAGTCTCACTCTATCACCCAGGCTGTAGT